CCCCAAAACCCCAAAACCCCAAAACCCCAAAACCCCAAAACCCCTTTGAGGAGGAGGCGTATTGAAAAGAGGTTTTGGATGAAGGCAAGGCAACTAGGGTTAAGGTGGGTTTGGGTTTTGGTTGATAAGATAGGTTGTATTTGGGAGAAGAGGATTATTAGAGTGAGAATGTTGGGTTTCTTTATTTTCTTATAAAATGCTTGTTAGGTTTAGTTTTCTTGTGCGCCCACTCTTTCTAAAGTTGTGATTGTCTAAGTGAGATTTGAGTGAATTTTTTGCGGAGGTCAATGATTTTCCTCTTCATTCGATTCTTTTCTTGCTCTGGAGATTTGTATATTATGTCTGAAATCAGAGAGCCATCCGCTATAAATTATGTTATAAAATTCTGATCAGATATTTTTGATTAAAGACTGTTTCAAAGCTTTTGTGTAATCAATATAATCTGGCTGAGAGAATTAACAAAAAGAAGCATTGTGAGGTAAAACCCTAAAGGAAGCAATTGGTTTACATAGAATTTTAAACTAGTTTTCTAAATTCTTTATGTATAATAATTTCCCCTGTGGGAATAAGAATCGCACTTTAGAAATTAATCAAACTAAGAGAGATTCTCCAATTATCAAACTATTTCTAATGCAACAGTAATACTTATATGGCCTACTAAAACTCAATTATTGCCCTAAAACCCTTCCAGTTCTATGCTGGATCATCTCTAAACCCAATAAAGGGCTTAGCATATAATTTTTCAAGGTTATCCCATGCTCTATCACTCCAAGAAAGGATGTAATATATCCTGTCTCACAGTAAGGTTATCCATACCTCTAGTTGTTGGGACTGAAGTCCTACTTAGGATTTTACCAGTCAGATGCCTCCTGTTGTTCCTAAAATATTGTATCAGATATATTTTGAAATTTGAGACGAGTGAAATATTGTGAATGGATGTGTAAAAAGAGGTTTTAAGGTTTTGTAATGATTTACCTATTTTTGCGCAATTTTAAGTCAGGTGATCTACAATGGGAGTTTTTGAAAGATTTTTGGTATTTAGAAAGCTGGGAGTCGACTTTTTGTGTGAATGGGGTGTTTATTTGGTTTGTGGGAATTGGAGTCTGGAATGAGAATTTTCTGGAAGCTTTGGAGTCCATTTTGGGGCAGGTTGTTGAGATATCTTGTTTTAAGTCAAGAGTTAGGTCATATTTTTTAATTCTGTATGTTTAGAGTATAAACTTGCTCTTTTTGGTGTAGCTTATTTGCTTAAAATTGAAAAACGCTGGAAGATCTTTAGTGAATGTTTGTATCCATTCTTTGGATTCTCAGAATTTCATAAAGTAACTAATTGTCACTTAGGAGTTGAGGTTCTAAACTGATAAGAATTTCTTGAAATTGGTGGAGAGATTGAACACTTTGGTTTAAACTTGCTGAGTTTTCTCGGTACATCATCAAACCGTTGCTAAAATTCAAAACTTTGTCTTACATTGTGAATTTCTTCAATTAAAGAGGTATCAGTTTTGCCCTAAAATTAGCTAAATACTCACATTTTTCTCATGAAATTTAGATATCTTTAACGGTGAAAGCTTATTTGTTCTCTTTAAACCCCAGACGACTCAATTCTGTTCTCTTATTTAGGCTCTGGCTCAGTCGAGAGGATCTGTTTGAGTTTCTCTAAAGATATTAAAGATATGTTTACTCTGCTTTTTCTTCTGGATTTTTATAAATGAGTTATTAGTGTTATCAAAACTGCTAAGATTTCTGTAATTTAAGCTATAAAAATTTACTCTGATATTATAGATGTAAGTGTTGTTTCCTATATTATTATGAGAATCCCTTGCTAATCAACTTTGCTTTTTGTGACCCCAAAGTCTTGATTTCTTCTGGAATGTTCTCTCATGGTCAGTTTGTGGAGTTCTAGCTTGAATGTTTCTACTTCTCTATATCTCATACTGTAAGTGTACGTTAGTATCTGTATCACGTATAAATTTGGTGACCTTATTTTCTGAAATTAGCTTTCTACAAATTACGAAACAAAATACTCTTTTATAGAGAAATTTGAAATCAGGAGGTAAATCGTCTGCTACAAGCTTTACTTTCTTCTTTTCAACAGATTTCTCCTTAACTTCTTCAATTGTTTTGCTTCTTGATTGTGGTGGTTTCTTCAACCTTTGGATTTTTTTTAGTCTATATGTGTGTTCGGAAGTTATTCTTTGAATATGTAAATTGTTTGTTCTAATTTGTTATTACAACTCATAGAGTCATTTTTCTGTGAACTGAGCTTGTATTTTATGAACCAGTATGAAAACTAAAATAACTTGAGAAACTTAAAAAAATGCATATTTTGATTTTTAATATTCTTTGTACAAGAGTGTTTTGAGGTAAATCTAAGAGTCGATTAATTCTGATGCCCAACTTTTAACAACTCAAGATGTCAGCTAAAGACTCTCGCAGCCTGATTAAATCTCATGTTACCTTCTCTCAGTTTCATATTCGTGAATATTTCTTTCTTCCTTGTCTGCAATTCTTTCAATGCTATAGTAGTGGTCAGGCCAGATTGAGGAACCCTTTCTCTTACTCTTTAATTCTAGAATTCCTACATTTCTGATGATTCACTATATAGAAATTAGGAATGCAATACAAGCAACTTGGAGGCATTGTTGGGACTTTTTGGAGTTGAATAGAGGAAGTAGCTCTTTTGAGGGCAAGAAGTATACTGTAGAGTATCCTCCTGAAGTTCAGACTACAGTGTTCTTTCTCTTAACGTTTTCGAGTACTTCTTCTACCCCAAAGGCATCTCTTTCTCTTAAAGAAGCTATCCTGAGATGGTCTAGGTCTTTCAAGACTGATAAATTTTTCGGTTTGCTGGAGCAATTAGTAATCTTCTCCTTTAGCTTTGGTTTAACTTTCATCGGGTTTTTCTGTATGACTTCAAAATTCCCTTCTTTTACTCAAAATATTCCAGATGGTTGGTCTCCTTCTGAGTAGACTTTGCTTCCTAAATCTTTAACAGTAGAATTACCTTTTGAATAGATCTGCTCTTCCATGAAATATGAAAATTTTCTTAACGTGTTATAAGTAAATTCCTGAAATATTTCGTATTTATTTAAGAAATGTGATCTTTTGCTCAAGCTTCTTCTTCTCTGCTTTTCCAGCAATGTCTTTAAAGTCATCTCTGCCCAGAATGGCAAAGCTACAGGAATGGTTCTTACAATAGATAGTAGCCGTACGTTTGGAGGAGTTAATAAGAGCTACTTCTCCAAAACATTTTCCAGGACCAAGTACATTAACTTCCTTCATCATCATAGTTTTGAAAGTTTTAAGGTTCTTCAAACAGAAAGATTGGGTAGCTTTAATTAACTTTTTCTGTATTTTTGAATATAAAAATTACCGATGACCTATTTAGGAACTCGTGGAGGAGGCCTGTTCATCAATGCTTGTACTTTCAGTTTGAGTGCAGCTCCATTCTCGGTCTTGTCCCAACAGATATCTTTATAATTCTTCAGTAGAAATTGGTGGTATTGCTCTTGAGTTGACTGGTTTTCTTTGGTAAGCATTATCTTAACGCCAACCTTTCCCTTGAGAATAATGTAGAAGTAGTATCCTTCATCACCTTGCTTGAAGAGGATGTCATTCTTGGCATGCTGGACATATTTCATTGCTCTGAAGCATTTTAGGACTGTTTCTTCCCCGTTTTTCTCCTCTAGTTCCGAAAAGAATTGGTGGCTTTTAAAGAAATCTTTTAGTTCTAGGAGATCGCCTAGGATAATGAGACTATTTAGCAATCTTACTTCTTTTACGATGATTATTAGTAAGCACCTTTAAAATATCTCGAGTGAGAGACTTAGGTTGATTATTAACTGAATTCACACTTGGCTTTCTTGCGCTATTATTTTATATCGTGATGTATTGCACTAGCTATATTAGATAAATGTTACTAAAACTTTCTAAGGCAGAGACAAATTTACAAGGTCATAAATATCCTAGAGAATGCAAAATGTCTTAAAATTTCTATGATTCCTTCCCCTCATTCATCTAAACTTACTGGATAACTTATCATTTTCTTTATCCAAACTTGTCATCCTCCTCATTAACTTCTGTTGGGATATCTGATTCTTATGTTCCATTTCATTCTTTAATCAATCAAGGTTGAGAGATGTGATATTAATGTTAGCCATATTAATTAAGTTTAAAAATAATAATAATTATACAATATTGAAGCAAAAAGAAGGGGTTTTGGGGTTTTGGGGTTTTGGGG